GGCAGATGTGTTAACCACTAAGCCACAAGGTCCTTCTCCTTATCAGCTGAGCCAGGGAAATAGGTATGTATTTAGAGTCACAGGATGCTATATATATTTCTGTTGAGTTGGGTCTTATTTTCATGATTTCTCCCGACGGCTAAGTTTACTTTAGGAAAAAAAACTGCAGAAAATACCTGGCTGTTAGCAATTCTCTTAAGTTACATTGGCTTTCTAATGCAAAATGTAGAATAAGGCAGCAGCTTCTGTACAGAATACAAATTTGGCAGCCGAGAGGATTATGTAACACTCTTCAGGAAAGCTTAACACAGCACATTTCCATGTGAATGATGGAGAATGCCGGAGCGATAGCAACTGAATTGAATTGCCAGGCTTTTCATTCCTGGATTCGATCCTATTCACCGGCTAAAAAACAAGACAGTCCTTGGGAAAAAGAATGAAAAAAAACCAACAACAGAAAGGCCTGCTAATATCTCAATTAAGCACCATTTTCCGTGCAGTATTTAACATCTCCAAATGGCTGTCATTCTAAAACGATTATTTAACAATCTGGACTCCTAATTTCCCCCCGAAAGCGATTGCAAACTGTACTGTTATCTTCTAAAATTGCTGGTTCAAAGAAGTGAACTCAAATTTCATTTCTAGCTTTGCAGAAGGCACAAATTACGCACTCCCTCTAGGACAAAGCAACGGAACACAACAATTCCGCAATCTTCATAATCCGCACCCTCCAATTTCTGCTTCTTTTCTCCGAAATTTAATTCTGTATGAGCTAAATACAGGAAACTACCAACCTCCCGTTGATAAGGAATCCATAATAATTAATATTTCCCCCTCCCACACATATATAATAGAAAGATTCCCTATTTCCTAAGAAGCGTAAGAGCCATCCGTAGCAAACTTTTTAAAAAAATTGTCTTAACTTTCAGGAGAGGGACGTGGAGGCTCAGTGGGTAAGAGGCTAAACTTGTCGATCAGAAAGGTCGGCAGTTCGGTGGTTCGAATCCCTAACGCCGCGTAACGGAGGGAGCTCCCGTTCCTTGTCCCGGCTTCTGCCAACCTAGCAGTTCGAAAGCATGTTAAAAAAATGCAAGTAGAAAAATAGGAACCACCTTTGCTGGGAAGGGAACTGCGTTCCGTGCGCGTTCGGCGTTGAGTCATGCCGGCCACATGACCACGGAGACGTCTTCGGACAGCGCTGGCTCTTGGGCTTTGAAACGGAGATGAGCACCGCCCCCTAGATTCGGGAACGACTAGCACATATGTGCGAGGAGAACCTTTACCTTACTGTGTTTTATCGTGCCTTATTTCCTGGACCTTCAACACAGGTTTTATTACCAAACTAGGTAACATCATCAGTGCTAGAAGGGAAGGGGGGTTGTGGAAAGGAGGAGGAGGAAGACTGTGGGGCCCTTGGTGCTCTCTGAGTTTGCTTGTTTTCTTGCAGACGTTTCATTACCAAACTAGGTAACACCATCAGTGCTACACTTTTTCCATTTCCAATTCACTCGCTCCCTCTCCAGCACCCAAGCCCACGTGAGGCCAGTTCCCGAGTGGCTCTCTCTAAAGGCGGCTGCGGGGGACGGGCAGGGGGGGGAAGCAGGATTGCATCTGGCGCACATCTGGGGAAACCACTCGCATTCAGGAGCCGAGTTCGAAACTGGCTTCTGAGCCCCGTTAGGCCAATCCCTCCCAACCCCACGGCTTCCCATGCCCGAAGGGGCTCCTTGGAGGCTGGGGTGCCCAGCAAGTCCCCGGGGACCGACCAGCCCTGCTGAATGACGGATTGAATGGGGGGGGGAAGCTGCGGGGTGCAGGAAAAGCCCCATTTTATGAGTGGTTAGGAACAAGAGGTAGAAAGTAGATGGCGGAAGGTCACTGCCATGTACGAATTAAATACAAAGATAATTCATCATTATATATATAATCAATATATATATAATATAATCAACCTACCAATATAATCCACAGAGGTATAAATAATCCAATGTAAAGAGAAATTTAGCTATGTTATTAGTTATATTATCAGTTATGTTTAGTTATATTATTACTATTCTTACCAGTATACCAGTATATCTATCTATCTTGCTTCTGTAAATGATTTATGTAAGTTTTTATGAAAATAATGATAATAATAACAATGGTGATCATCACAATAATCACAAAAATCATAACACTAATACTAATAATACTAATAAGATTAATAAGACTAATACTATTAATAAAACTAATACTAATAATACTAATATTAATACTAATTTCCGGCAGAGGAAATCGAAAGCTGCAGCTCTGCAGAGATCTCCTTGCAAGGCTTCCCTTGATAGGATCCGAATGAATCTCCCCGGATCTCCCCTTCCCAAGCGATCTATTCCTAGTGCCCGGCGATCTTTCACCTCTCCCGGCTGGGCTGCAGAGATCGCTTGATCAGGATTCCCATTGATGGGATCCAATGGAATCCCTCCGGATCCGGTGGATCTCCCCTTCCCAAGCGATTCACTCCACCTGCCTGGCGATCCGCTGCCTGGGCTGCAGAGATCGCTTGGCATGGATTCCCTTCATGGGATCGGGAGGGATCTCTCCGGATCTCCCCCCCCCAAAAAAAAGCCACCCACTCTTAATGCTCGGAGATCTCCCACCTCTCCCGGCGTGGCTGCAGAAACCGCTGGGCAAGGCTTCCCTAGATGGGATCGGGAGGAATCCCTACGGATCTCTTCCCCCCCCCCCCCCCCAGCGATCCTCTCCCAGTGCCCGCCGATCTCTCATGCCACCCACGGCAGAGGAAATCGAAAGCTGCAGTTCTGCAGAGATCGCCTTGCAAGGCTTCCCTTGATAGGATCCGAAGGAATCTCCCCGGATCTCCCCTTCCCAAGCGATCTATTCCTAGTGCCCGGCGATCTTTCCCCTCTCCCGGCTGGGCTGCAGAAGAGATCGCTTGGCATGGCTTCCCCTTGATGGGATCCGTTGGATCGCTCCGAATCGCCCCCCTCCCCGAGCGATCCACTCCGAGTGCCGGCCGATCCCTCCCGTCTGGGCTGCAGAGACCGCTGGGCAAGGCTTCCCTTCATGGGATCCGGTGGGATCTCCCCGGATCTCCCCTCCCGGATCTGCCCTCCCCCTTCCCGGAGGCCGCTCACTTTTGCCGGCTGGGCTCCTGCAGGGCTGCCGTCTCTTCCTCCTCTTCCTCCGCCTCCATGAGCGGCCTCTGGCGCTTCTCCCTGCCCGGCCAAGCGCCGCCGCTGAGCCGCCTCCGCCCCGCGGTCCCCTCGCCCGCCGCCGACGCCCCGGGCAGCGAGGAGGGAGCCTGCCAAGGCCGATTCCCCATGCAGCGTCCGAGAGCGGCCCGGAACAGCTTGGCTCCTTCGTTCCTTGGCCGGTTCTCCCTCCGCTCCTTCCAGCCCTCGGCTGCCCTCTCTCGGGAAGGGGACGCCGGCTTAGGCCCAGCCTCCTGCCCGGGAAACCTTCCCCCTTCCCCGGGAAATCCCCGCATCAGCTCTTGGGATGTCTGCACGTCTGAAGGGGTTACACGTGTCGCAGGCGTGAGAAAAGGGTGGGAACCAGCAAATACAGCAAATACCCCGACTACGATTCACCCAAATTTGTTAAGGCAGGCGTTGGTTAAGTGAGCTTGGCCCCATTTTGCGACCTCTCTTGCCTCCGTCGTTAAGTGCATCGCCGCCGTCGATAAGTTAGCCAGCGGTAGTTCAGCGAATCTGACTTCCCGCCACGGAGTTCACTCGTCAGAAAGTCGCCCAAAGGAGACCTTGGGACACCGTCATCAATACGAGCGTCGGGAGTTTGACCACGGGGAGGCCACAACGGTCGTTAAGTGTGAAAAACGGTGGCAGGTCACCGCGGTAACTTCGAACGGTCGCTGAACGAACCGTGGTTAAGTCAAGGACGACCTGACGTAAGCGATCTACTCCGACGGATCGTTCCTCCCCTGGCATCGTATAAGAGGTTGATTGGCAGAAGGCATTGGGGCGTTTCAGCCGTTGGGTGGAATGGAGGTTTGAAGGAAGTTCTCTGCCATTTCTGCGGCAACGGATTCAGCCGCCAATTTTCCTCTTGGTTGCAGCATCGCCTTTGGAGCTCAACCAGAAACAACACAACACGGCATCACAATACAAGGCTGGCCTCGACTTACGACCCCAAGAGAGGCCAGCATTTCTGTTGCTAAGTTGTTAAGTGAGTCTCATTTTACGACCTTGCTTTGCCACCATTGTTGAGTGAATCACTGTAGCTGTTAACTAAGTCCAGGTAGCCCCCCCCCCCGGCTGACAAAGTTTATTTAGTGTCTGCTCAAAGTTACAACGGCAACTGAAAACGGTGACTGATGACCATTATTCAAACTTTAATAGGATTCCCTATGATCAAAATTTGGCAATGGATTCGTACTTATGACTGTTGCTGTGTACCAAGATCATGGCGATCCCCTTTTACGACCTTTTGACGGGAAAAAGCAATGGGGGAGACAGATTCACTTAACAACCATGTTACTAACTTATCAGCTGCAAAGATTCACTGAAGGTCATAAAATGGGGCAAAACTCACTTAACAGATATTTTGGGCTCAGTTGTGGTCGTAAGTCGAGGACTACCTGTAACGGGTTGATAAGTGGATCTGGCTTCCCTTGCTTGTCCGAAGGTTGCAAAAGGGGATCCCATGACCCCTGGACATTGCAACCGTCATAAATATGAATCAGTTGCCAAGCGTCTGAATTTTGATCACATGATTGTGGGAAGGCCATAACAGTCGTAAGTGTGAATAACATCCATAACTCAATTTTTTTCAGGGTCATTGTAACTTCAAACAGTCACTAAATGAACTGTTGTAAGTCAAGGACCATCGGTACCAAAGTAAGTCAGAAATAATTTTTTAAATTTTTCTTTCTTTTTCTATTTTGTCCTTTTTCTGTTCTTTTTTTTCTTTCCCTTCTTTCATTTTTGCACTTTTACTTTTTCTTTCTTTCCTGAACTACTTCTGTTTTCATTTTTCTTTCTGTTTATCTTTTTCTATTCTTTTTAAAGATCAATAAAGGCGTTAGTGTGTGTTTGTGTGTTTGTGTATATGTGTGTATGCGTGTATTCTACAATACAAACCTAATATTTGAAGTCAAAAGTTACTGGTAAACTTGATACCGAGTAAGCATGCCAAACTGACTGTATTTTTTAAAAAGATATTTCTGGGATTATAAACGAAAAGTGGTGGGAATGATAAATAAACTATCTTGCCATATGCTGAAAATGGAAATGCGACTTTCCCAAACTACCAATAAATTATTTTTGTTTACTAAGTAGGCTCAATGCCTTTTGTTTAATGGTTTTGTAAAATGTTAACTTCAACTCTGTTGGATGTTTGTATCGGAGAGGTTACAGTGGGCACCTAATCGCTGATTTTCACCTAATCTCTAATCTTCAAAGCTGTTTATTGAGAGAGAGAGAGAATATATAATCTTTTTTAGTTTTTGCTGTTCTGAAACTACCAGATCAGTTTACATTCCAATTTCAAAGAAAGGCAATGCCAAAGAATGTTCAAACTACCGCACCATTGTACTCATTTCACATGCTAGTAAAGTGTTGTGACCCAGCAGGAACCGTTGGAGCTGCCGATGGACTTCGATAGCGAGGAACCCCATGAGTCTGCTACGGAAGATGTGGAGGACCATGGGCAGGATTCAGACTCAGAGCAGGGACCAGAGAGGCTGGTTGGCCACCAGGAGGCGCCTGAGGCATGGAGCAGTGGGGAAGATCAAAGGGAGTTTGTCCCTGACGCCAGGCAACGGAGGGTGGAGAAACGGAGGCAGCAGTTNGCCCGGAGTCCTTCGGGATTGGGCGGCCTATAAATTTATTAAACATCAACATCAAACATCAAAAGCGGGTGAAAATTTGGGTTCGTCTTATACACCGAATGTAGTCCTGGCCACCCGCCGGCCCCCACCCTTTGGCCCCTGCCTCCCAGCAATTTGCCTCCTTGCAGCAAACAGCTTGTTTCGGTTTCAGCTTTAGCACAGCTTGATTAGCACAAGCAGCTGATTGTCGGTTGGATTGCCCTCCCAACCATCAGCTGTTTCAGGCTGCAGGGATTGCCATTGCCTATTGCCACTTCTGCGCCCCACATTTTTGGCCTCTGCATGTCCCATTTTCCGCCTATTTCGATCCCTGCCACCTGGAACGGGCAGAAAAATGGGGCATGCGGAGGCTGAAAACGGGATGCGGAGGTCGAAATGGGACGCGTTGAGGTGGCAGTAGCCTATGGCAATCCGTGCAGCCTGAAACAGCTGATTGTCGGGAGGCTGATCCAACTGATAATCAGCTGCTTGTGCTAATCAGGCTGTGCTGAAATTGAAATAAGCTGTTTTTGGCGTGTGAATTATTTATTGTTGTTGTTGTTGTTGTTATTATTATTATTATGCAATAGTAAGTGGAGAGTTATGGGGATTTGGGGAAAGGTCACAGAGGAAGGGAAAGCGAAATTAAGTTTCGGAAGAAATTATCCTGCAAAATCAATTCCATTCCACCCAGGGTTCCTTAAACAGTGACGAAATATTTTCTAAATCACGATAAAACTATAATGTAGAGCTGTTTTGTATTTTAAAAGTACTACGGGTAATTCTTGACTTACAAGTTCATTTAGTGACCATTCGAAGTTACAACGGCACTGAAGAAAGTGAGTTACGAACATTTTTCACACTTATGACCATTGTGGCACCCTCATAGTTAAAATTCAAACATAATGATGACCGACTCGTATTTATGACGGTTTCAATGTCTCGATGGGGGTCACATGATCTCCTTTTGCGACCTCCTGATAAGCAAAGTCAAATGAGGGTAGCCAGATTCACATTGCAACCGTGTCAGTAGCTTAACAATTGCAGTGATTCACTTAACAACTGTAGCAGAAAGGTTGTAAAATGGTATAAAATTCACTTAACAAATGTCTCACAGAAATTTCAGGCTCCATTGTGAGTCGTACGCCAAGGACTGCCGATATGTATAAAAAGATAATTTATAGGAAATATCATTCCTGCTGCCTTGAAGTAGTTCCATAGGTGGAAGGTGTAGACATTTTGGTGAGGTACTGACATTTAATACTTTAAGGAGCCCCAGGTCGATCTCAAGCCATGTGATCCTGTCTATCATTAAACCATCTTTCCCAGCAACTTCCATGAATCCAGTGTCTTCCCCCCCCCCCCCCAACTTGGAACTGAACCCAGATGGGCATTTCTTCCAACATCAGAACAGAGAGTATTGGATTTGCAGACTAGAAACCCCAAATCTCCCCCAAAACTGACCACAGGATCCCAGGCCTAAATTTTCGGACGCGAGGAAAAAAAAATATAACACTTTCGAAAGCAATCAAGAGTGCGATCTGGGTGCGACCGATAAATAAGCCCACGCTGCCTTTCCACATTTCCTGGTTCAAAGTCATTTACCTTTAGCAGGGAGTAGTTCGTCATCGTAACTTTAAAAACTTTAAAAGTTACTAAAGTTAAAAGAGTTTGCCAAAAGTTACTTGGGTGTTCAAATCGGTGTCCCCTTTACGCACCCAGCCAGCTGCTAATCTAAAACAATTTCTTAAAAAAATTAACCGAAAGCATTCGTTCATAGAAATTTGGACCCGTCTTCCTTGGCAGAAAATATTAGAAAAATTGACCTACCCCCAAGGGTGTCTGAAGAAGCGAGTTATAGTTCACGCCAGTTTTCAAAAAGGCCTTATCAGTCTGAGAAGCTGGCAGACTGGTTATTAACGTGAGTCTTCACCCACAATATCTTGGACTTAAATAGTTAAATCTCACTCAACTGGAAGCTGAGGAATGTTGTTACTACTAGTAGTTAATTAAGATCTTAGCAAAGTATCCATTTCCTTTTATTACACAGCAATTTGCACCTAGTCTTTCTACCCGAAAGGGTTGAACCAAAGGAAGGGAAGATCGGGATGTTTCCATTGAAGTTTGCACATTTTCCTTCTCTTGGCTTCTTTCCCAATTGTGTGTGTGTGTGTGCNTATCTATCTATCTATCTATCTATCTATCTATCTATCTATCTATCTATCTATCTATTTGTCCTGCAAGCCCCTTGGACTGCAAGGTCATCCAACCGGTCAGTCCTAGAGGAGATCAACCCTGACTGCTCTTTAGAAGGTCCTAAATCCTGAAGAGGAAACTCAAATCCTTTGGCCACCTAATGAGAAGGAAGAAGGACTCCCTGGAGAAGAGCCTCATGCTGGGAACGATGGAGGGCAAAAGAAGAAGAAGGGGACGGCAGAGAAGGAGGTGGCTGGATGGAGTCACCGAAGCAGTGAGCTTAAATGGACTCCAGAGGATTGTAGAGGGCAGGAAGGCCTGGAGGAACAT